TAAACAGAACACTAATAAAACTACATGGCCATCAAGTTTCAAAAGGAAACATCAATTACTCCACCACCTGTGAAAACTGAACAGTGTTCTCACTTTCCTCATTGACAGTCACAAGTGCCACATATGTTGACCTTATAAAAGAAACAATAGACTACAGGTGTTCTCACCAATGAGCTGACTCTGTGATGCAGAAGAGATGTTTAATTCACTACAGTTTCACACCTGTAATGTTTTTAAAGCCTCTCAAAAACAAAACTAAAACTGTTACAGCTGTGTATTATTCAACTAACAGGTCCTTATTAATAAATATAATTCAGTTAACAGGATTGAAATAAGTAAAAATAGAGTCTTTATATGAACAACGCTTAATGCCTGAATCTAGCTCCCAATGAGGCGAATCACAAAAGCTCCCACTGACTTTAACAAAGGCAGGACTGGGTCCTAAAAATGTCCTGCATAAACAATATTCACAAAGTAACATTATTATTGCTGAGCTCCCAAAAGCGTCCTAAGTACTTGTCCTCCATTGAAAAAGTGAACACAACAGAAGTCAAAAGAACATGCTGGCCAAGTTAAAATTGCAGCATTTTGTTTATACTTTTTTTAGTTTGTAAACATTGCTGTACTGAAGTAAAATGGGTCTAAGTTGCTAAAGAACGCAACTTATATAGGTGAGCGCCTAAAATTCTTCACCTCATTTTTTGATTTCTTCCTAGTCTCAGTCATCAATAATCAATGGCACATAGTTAGCAATTATGCCTTTATCAATCATTTTAAAATGTCATCTTAACTATTCAGAGACTGACAATTAACTGTTCTCTCAGGAGGTGCCCTTTATCTCCATATGTGCCTCTACTTCCCTGCTAATATTTAGAGAGATTTTTCGGTTTAATGGACAAGATACAGTTTCCACCGCTGAGACTCCATATAACTTCATTAGAAATGCAAATAGCTCATCTCCCCATGTGATACACTAAATAAAGATGCATACAATGGAAAACTGCCTGCCTGTACTGCAAGAATACAGATTTTCTCTCCCACAAGGTCTCTGAAGTTTCAGAGGAGTTCTAAAACCAAGCAGCAACCTTGCAAATGCTCTTCTGGAGGCATTTAGCAAGCAAGCAAAAGACTAAATAAACTTCAGGGATGCCAGTAGAATGGCTATTGTGTGCGTATTTTCAATTGATATAAATTATACTGAACAACAGCTGAAAAATGGGAGGGGAGATCTTTGTTACATTTAAAATAAATTAAAATTTCTCAAAAATGGATGCTCAAAAGAGGAAAAGTCTAACAGTTCTGAAACTGCACTTTGTGACCACCAGTGGCTCATAGAGAGCTGGCTGGGGGCGATAGGGTGCTGGCTTTGCTTCTTTGTTTCTAGCTGCTTCTAACAGATGTCCACAATCTTTATTACAAAGCTGAACTGCAGGCCTGTAAAAGGAGCAATGAACAAGGAGGGACCTGCCTCCACTAGAGCTACAGCAGAAAAGGCAAGGAAACAGGAATTACCCTCAGGAACCAGAGTCACCAGTGGGCAAAGGAAGCAAAGAAAAGTCCAGGGAAGGAGGGCAAGAGAGAATGGGAAGCCAGGCAACATGTCCAGGAGGGCAGAGGGAAAGAGGACCATGGCTGAACTATATGGATAAGAAAGAAGCAGCAGAAAAAGGGGAAGTATAAATAGGAGGAGAAGATTAAGAGCAAAAGCAGACAGTGCAATTAACATCACAAAAAGGACAAATCACTTATTACATCAAAAGGAGATAAAATACCAAACACTTTCCTAATATTATTTTTCCATGTAAACAATTGCTACAGAGTGCCACATGGATGTTGTGTTATTGTGAGTGCGAAGGAAATGTCTGAGAGACAACCTCTCTGCAGATGGCCCACACTGAAAATGCCTGAGAACCACTAGGCAAACCCACTCCTGCATACACAATTTGCCATAAAGTAGATTAGTGGAAAAAATTAGACAGTATGCAATGCCAAGAGAGAGAGATGCATTCCATTTCCAAGATCAGTGTCCAAGGAAATCAATGTAGTATCTGTGCCATGTGCCCAGGACTGAAACCTAATTGATAGGGGTCAAAAAAATCAGATGACTCCAGATGATGCCAAAGATACCTTGATCATCTACCTAAAAAAATATGAAGTTTAAAAGAAGATATATATCTATGTTATTGCTTTTGGATCCAGGCCATACCACTGCTCACTTGAAAGTACATTCCCCATCCCAAAGTAGGTTATCAACCACCAATAATGGTCCTGATACCTCCTCTCTGGCTTTCAGCTACTCTCTTTTGTGCTATATTTGTTTCCTGATGTATTCCAGTGCCCCTCCCACTCCAGTTCTTGGAATTTTAGACACTGAACCCTCATAGCTCTTGGGTGAGATTTAGAACAAGTTATGACTGTAACATACAGTTTCACTGATTCTCTCATGAATGGCATAGAAATGCACTTTCATTTAACATTTTTGAAGTCTGTCTATTATAAATTAAGCTATCATCCTTTTCATTTATCGTCTGGAAAGGCTGATGATCCTAAACTTAGAGAGCTATTTTCTAGCTCTTCAGAGGGGGAGAGAGGTTCTGTGAAGAACATCAATTTGGTCTCCTTTTCAACATTTCCATTTAGCTGTCGCTGTCTTCAGTGTGATTCTATTTTTCTGGAAAGATTTCAGCGTTAAAAGTTTTATCTTTTTTATAGTTCTCTCTTTCACGTTACTTTCAATTGCTTCATGATGTAATTTTTGTTTCTCTTTAATTAAAACTGTTTCCCAGCTTTTGTGATGAATAGGAGCAAAGTTAATTTAAAATACAGCAGTCTGGTTTGGTGGTTCATTAGTGTCCCCTAATTGTCCACATAAAGCAATATATTAACATTCCATTAGCAAGTTTTATGTACACTAACTACAGTATTTGATTAAATCCCACTTCAGTTTACATAGTCAGGAAAAAAAAGTAGTAAGGGTATAGATGAGATAGCATATTATAATCAGGGAACATATATCGTAAACAAGTGTTTCAAATTTTCTGACAAGCAAAATAACGTCTATTAATATGGCATACAAACTAAAAGGAAAACGTCATCTTTACTGGACTTGACACACTGGTATATATAAAAGTGTACATTTTCAGTATTTTCATTTCAGAATAACCACTGATAAAACAGCCCCTTGGTTGAAAAAATACTCAGGATGTCTATTAGATAAGAATAAATTGGTAAAATAACTAAGGTCAGATGACTCTTTTTAAACTAACCTACAGATACAAAGTCCCATTATTTACTGAAGGACATTATTTGAGATTCTCAACATTGTCTGATCTCAGACTCTGTTGAGAATTATAGTGCACTTGGCCTCTGTTCAGCCTCATGTTCTTAGGTTTCAGAGGAGCTCCTAGCCTAGATTAATAACTTTCTCTCGCATCCCAACTCTTCAGAAGTGCAGAGCACCTGCAGCTCCTACTGAATTCATTTGGAGCTGCAGGTTCCCACCACCTTTGAAAATCCTATCCTGATTCTGAAAGCTTATTAAAAAAAATTTGAAGGCCCCTTACAGAAAACACCCTGCCACTAGTCCTCTCCTGCTTAAAACAGACTGCTGCTAACTACCGATGTAGGAACATTTAGAAGTGTGATATGTATTTCCAACAACATGCTCAGTGCTGTACACAACACAGTTAAAGCCCATCATCACTGCCATGAAGATCTTATCTGATCCTTAAATTGATTTTGTGTGGTACAAGAGTCCACCCATGCACACACAGTTGCAAGAACAGGGTCTCAAGAAAAACACAGCCAAAACTATATGCACTGAAAGAGCAAAGGAATTTTTAAGTTACAACAATTTTGTAAGTTTATTGTACACCACTTGTTTAACATGTTAGAGTAAAGAATCAGAGGGGTAGCTGTGTTAGTCTATATCCACAAAAAACAACAAGGAGTCCGGTGACCACCTAAATAAATCTGTTAGTCTTTAAGGTGCCAATAGACGCCTTAGAGTAAAGAAGACATCTGACTGATGTGGTTTAATCTTCGTGGGTCACGTGGAAGTTACCTTGTCTGTGTTAATAGAAATATTAATAAAAATCAAACCTGTTAAAATATTAATAAAAAATGTTGGCCCCAGGCAATTGGCAACTATATGCTGTGTGTACAAAACCCACCTTGATTCCTAAATATCCATTTGTTAGCACTGATGTACTAAACTTTCAGCTAATCCCTGCTACTCTAATGGAAAGGATGGTTATCCACATAGGAAGCAAGACACTGTGAACCAATTTCACTATCCCAACACAGAAAATTGGAACAGAATACCAAATCAGACACATTTCAGAAAAGAATGCCTGCTATTCCTTCATAGCTGATATTCTCATGCTGTAGATCTGAGGCAAATGATTTATCCAAATGTTGTGCTGTGAAGTTTGAATACTAGTGGAGCATCATCATGTACCCTGTTACTTAGGAACAACCCTGCACTGGCAGAATGATGTACATCTCTAACTTCTAGGAGTTTATGTGAATTCACCTTCCTGGCTGCTGCCCACAGTAGCAGGACAATGCAAGCATCCTGCCCTCAGAGTAGACTCTTGCCCCTGCAGAAACTGAAGAGGCTCTGATCTACTTCTATGCTAAAAAGGGCTCGATCTCTTCTTGCCACCATCTCAGGCAGTTATTGCAGGAGAGAAGCATCACTTAAGCCAAGGATTCTTGTAGTTACTAAACATGATGCCCAGAACCACTCAAAAGACTAACAAACTACTAAACCCTCAAAAAGGTCCCGCAAACTGAGCTGAGAAAGGATGGTCCAGTCCAGCCTGCCCCTGTTACACAGGGAAAGACAGCCCCCATGCACAATGCTGCTGATTGCAAACTACTGCAAACTCTCCCCGAGAAACTTGCTGAGAACTTGCGATGTCACTTGAGGGGGGGGCGAAGAGGGGGAATCCCCGCGCCCAGCTGCACAAACCCTTTCCTGCCCTTGCGGCTGTTACCTGCTGATGTAGCCGTCCCCATCGCCATCGCAGGTCTGGAAGAGGCGCCTCATCCTCTCCTCCTCGCCTGTGCTGGACGTGTCGCTGCTGCTACTCCCGGTGCTGCTCACGCTCACCTCCACCACTACGGCCGCAGCTGCCGCCATCATGTGGCTCTGCTCAGGAGGAGGAGCAGGCAGCGCAACCCGCGGTGCTCGGGACCCTCAGTCCGCACGAGCCCTCCCCGCCGTGCATGCACAGCGCGGCTCGCGAGCGGCGGCGCAAGGCCAGCCAGGGGGTGGCGAGCCCGGGCGCTCAGCCTCCTCGCGCACGAGCGCGGCGCGCGCGTCCCCTCCCGAGCCCCGGATTCACGTTCCAGCCTGGAAGGCGCCAGGGGAGCGCGCGCCGGGCCGGCTCACACTTTCCAGCCGCTGCAGCTGGGCTCAGGCGCGTTCGCGAGGGGGAGGAATGCGCAGGAGCCGCGACTGCTGCTGTGGGGGGCGTCTTTGCTGCTGCTTTGCCCCTGTCCGGAGCGCCCGCCGCGGGACCCGGCCCAGTGAGCCAGGGCCGGGACGGTTCGAGGGGAAGCGGAGCGTGCGCCAGCCTGCCAGGGAGCTTGGGCCCCCGTCTCTTTCCCTCGCCCCAGAGGGCCTACCCCGGCCCGCTTCCCCTGCCAAGCCTTGGGGCGGTATAGGCCTGCTGCTGCGTGCGAGACCGGCCCAACCAGCACACTCAGGCCAGCACTTGCACTGTGGGTGTCTGTGTTTCAGGGGACTGGGCGGGGGTTGACAGAAGTTCTGAGTGGAGGCACAAGAGTCTCTGGATAAATTGCCCTGGTCTGTTCACTGCCTGTGAAGCAGCTGACACTGACTGCTGTTGGAAGACAGGAGGCTGTGCTAGAGCAGTGGTTTTCAAACTTCTTTTCTGGCAACCCAGTTGAAGAAAAATTTTTATCTCTGCAACCCAAGGAAGCTGGGAATGAGGCGTTTGGGGTGTAGGAGGGGCTCGGGCAGAGGTTTGGGGTGAGGGATTCAGGGTGTAGGAGGAACAGGAGTACTTGTGGCACCTTAGAGACTAAGACCTTTTTGCGGATACAGACTAACACGGCTGCTACTCTGAAAAGGGTGTAGGAGGGGGCTCTGGGGTGGGGCTAGGGATGAGGGATTTGGGGTGCAGGAAGGAGGTTTGGGGGGGCTCAGGATTGGGGCATGGGTTTATCTCTGACAGCTCCTAGTCAGTGGCACAGCCAGAGTGCTAAAGGCAGGCTTCCTGCCTGTCCTGGCTCCAAAGACCATGCTGTGCCCTAGAAGCAGCCAGCACCAGGTCTAACTCCTAGGCTCAGGCGCACAAATGGCTCCACCTGGCTCTCACCTGCAGGCACTGCCCCCTCCCCCCAGCTCCCATTGGTCGGTTCCTGGCCAATGGGAGTACAGAGCCAGTGCTCAGGGCTGGGGCAGCACGTGGAGCCCCATGGTCCCCCTGCCTAGGAGCTGGACCTGCTGCTGGCTGCTCACGGGGCACAGCACAGTGTCAGAAAAGGTAGGGACTAGCCTTCCTTAGCCAGGCAGCACCGCCAACGGGACCTTTAACGGCCCGGTCAGCAGTGCTGACCAGAGCCTCCACCACCTAGTGCCTTACATTCCATGACCCAATATTGGGTCGCAACCTGCAGTTTGAAAACCACTGGGCTAGATGGACGGTTGGTCTGACCCCCCTCCCCATGGGCATTCTTATCTGAATCACTCAATAGGCTTGATGTTCAGAGGTGCTTAGCCTTAGTGCAACCAATAGAAATTGGTAGGGCCCCATGAAATTTTTATTTTTATTTTATAATTTTTGCAGGTTTTGGGAGAGCGATTCATTTTATCATGGTTGAGTCCTGCCCCAAAGATGGAAGCCTGCCTAGCAGTCATCCTGCGTTGGTGGCTCCATTCTTACGGGGCTCGGCCTGGCTCCACACTCCAGGCTTTGCAACCTGGGGCACAGGGCCACAGTGCTACTCACGTTTGGCCTAGCCACACTTCCGTTGTGACCAGGGGATGGAGAGAGAGGCAGGCAAAATTTGAGTGAGGAATGCATGGGCCAACCTGAGTGACACTCCTAGCCCATGTGCCAAATCACAACATCTGGAGTGGGGAGCCAGGCTCAGCCCCATGGGACAGGAGCTGCTGCTGTGGGGTAAGTTTTTTGTTTTCTGGTGGTTTTTCATTTTGTTTTGTGTTAATCTGCATTTGCAGAAAACACAGGGCTCTAGGAATTGCATATACTCTGAACCTCTGAAAATCAGGTCCCAAGTGTCTCAAGTTAGGCTGCCAAAAATGTGAACAAAAAACTAGTGAACACCCCTGAAAATGTGGCTTCAACTGATTTTACAGGGGAAATAAATAAAGTGACTATACACAAAGAGCAAAGTAAGCAAAGGGAGGGAAAATAGAAACATTTTTCCTCTGTTTTTCATAGAAATCTGAGGTGTCATATACAAAATAAGAAAGCACGAGTTCTAAATTAACAATGTCTGTTTAAACGAGAGAAAACAAGTGAGATGGAGCACTTCCGGGGGATGTTATGAACTTTCACTCTCCAAAATTTCCCACTTGTGTCTAATCATTCCCATTTACTACATACACTCACTTGGAGTTCCATGATCTTTTGGGTGATATGTTGGTGATAGATAGGTGATAGTTCCCTATGAACTGCTTGATCCCTATGTGGAGAGGTAACGGGTTGCAAATGGGTGGGCTATTGGCAAGTAGCAGGGAGCATCATCACCCTCTCTCTTTAGCTGCATTTGCTAACCAGACTCCAGTCTACATGATAGCAACTGTTCTCCACTTCTTACTGTTCTGCCTTCTCAGTACCTGGCAAGTCAAAGGGGATGGAGGGACAATGGGTATTGCTGCAATCAGAGGCTCCCTTTTATGCATCCTGTGGTTCCCAGCATCAGAGGTCCTATCTGTGAACAGAATCCAGTACATTTTGAAATATACCTACTCAAGCACCACTAAGAAATGAGACCATACCTGAAGATGGTATATACTTGGATGGTATGGCTGTAGTCTGGCAAACTTGGCACAGTTGTCCAAAAAGTTTGGGAATCCCTGAATTAGAGATTTGTATGCTTGAGGCACAGTTACCTCTGTCAGATACACAAAACAGTTTAGAACCTGAGGAAGACAAAAGGAGGAGAGGTGTTCTAAGGGCATATTAACAATATTGTGAAAAATAGTTATTAAAATAGTTAATGCAGCGTACCCAGCTGTACTTCTCATATTATTGTCTCAGTCATTATATAATTAGTGTTTACTTTTGTAAGGACTAAAATACCTGGCAATTTCATATTTTACGGGAACAAAGAAGCCCAAGAAGAAGATGCAAATTATATCCTAAAGAAACAAAGTTATCATCTCTGGATCTTTCTGGGCTTGTCTTTTTAAAGACTAAGTCAAAAAGTTATATTTTCAGCAGCACATCCAAATGTGACCAATTGGATGTTAGGCTTAAATGGATGCTCAGAATGAAAAACCTGCTGTCTTAAATATGGAATATCTACTGAGTAACAACATGATGTGTAATGTGGCCAAGTTACAGTTGCTGTGGGTCAAGGTGGCTTTTTGCCTTCTCTGTGCCAACTTATCCTATTACCAGCTGGTAGTTTCTTTGGCTCCTAGCACAGGTGAAAGCAGCCTCAGGGGCTGCCTTAACTTGCTCCAGCTGCCTACGTTTGCAAGGGGACATTGCAGAAGCTAACAAGAGTCAGAGTGCAAGGGTGCTTATGTTCTTATCATTAAGGCACATACAGCTTGTATTAACAATTACATTATTTTTTAATGTAAACATTGCATAACAGAGCAACGAGATCCTGCTGCAAGCAGCCGCCTGCCACCATGTATTCTACCTTTGTGGTCCAGAATCCTGTCCTTTTTCACATTTTTATCAACATTTTCTGTGGAAAGAAATACAAAGAATACAAGTGCCTCCATAGCATTATATGAAAGGTCTCCTGTTGGGTATGTCTTAAGACCTCATTTTTCTTTCAGCCACATCAATTTTACACCTATTTAACACTATTGATTTCAGTGGAGTTACTCCTGATGTATACTGGTGCAAAGGAGACCAGAACTGTCCCATTGTTTTCTAGCAATATCATAAGAATTTTTTCTTATAAGTATATTTTGTTACTGCATCTTGGACTTGTATGCAAGAAGGAATGTTTATTTCCTGCATTTCTTTACTGTGTATATACATAAAACTATTTTGCATTTTTCTGTGTTGTTGATCAAAGTCTATTCTCTGAACCTAAATCTCTATTATAAAAATGCCATTTTGGTTGAAAAAAATTACATTAATCTTTGTAGACAAATGAGTGCTTTTGCCAACTGTGGATGTCATGTGACCCTCCTAGATGGCCTCCTTTCTGCAGTTTACTGAGAGCTGCAATATTTAAACATGGTTCTGTAGTCAAGCAACTATCTACAACTCAAGTATAGAGCTGGTCAAAAATGTTCTGAAAAAACAATGTTGTTTTGGAAAGCGCTGAATCAATGGAACTGAAATGTTCTATGAGAACATGTCAATTCTGTCAAAATTTTCAATGGAAACCAGGCAGGTTGCCAGCCTGCCTCTCTGCGTGGTTTCCTGCTAGCCAGCCAGCCTGCTTGCCGGGCTCCCCAAGCTGCCCAGCTCCCTGGCTGTCCACCTGCTGGTCTGCTGGGCTCCCCAGCTACCTGGCAGCCTGCTGACTTCCTAGGTTGCCCAATAACCCAAGGAAGCAGGTACCCTGGGAACTGAGCAGCCCAGGGAGGTGGCTGCCTGGAGAGTCCTTTACGCAGCACATTTATAAATTAGCCTTTTGTAGAGTCCTCAACACTAGTATCTATGCAGTTTTCAAATTATTTGGCATATCTAATTTGAAAGTGCCAAAAAATAAAGAGCCTCCCAGATGTAATATCCTTTACTTTTTTCTGCTTCTCAAAGTAGGTTTCAGACTAAATTATTTAACATGTGGGATTTATGCAGATCTGAAACATATTTTAAACTCATGCATACTCAAACTTATGATCAAAATCCACTTGTAGATGAGTTTTATATCATAATTGAATTCAACAGTTTTCCTGTGCTGTGTATGCCCTGTATGTAGGTACAAATTATTACATCTCTGATATAATTTAAAGCAAATGTAAAGGTTTCCAGTGAATATATACCTTGATCTTGCAGCTACTACATGCAGGGTAAGGGGATAGCTGCCTAAATAATCAAAATCCATCAGTTTTAATCTGAATGGTCCAAACAACAAGGGTAAGTAGGG